AATGGTTTAAAAGAATTGAAGAAACTATGCTTGAAGACAAAAGTAGTAGACAACTCAAACCAGAGTTTATATTAGCAAAAGGGAACAATGAGTTATCTTTACAGACAACTTTAGACAGATGCTCAAATGATAACAGAAAGAAAGAATAGATTGTACTAAAGGTTCTATGAATAGGAAAAGAAAAAAACCTAGTAATCAGAAAAATAGTTGCAAACATATCCAAAAAGATGCTTACAGAATATTGGAAAACAAAACTACAAAAAAACAAAACAGGCAAGATTTTGGAAAAATGTAATGGTTGCAATTTAGATCAAATTGGAAAACAGAAAAGTTGTAAAAAGTAGAATAGTAAAGAAGACATTCAAGGCTTCTTATCAAAATTAATTAGTAAGAAAGAAGTGCCCAAACTCAAAATAGAGCAAAAAATGATAAGGAGATTAGAACACAATAAGTTAATCAAACCAAGCAAACAGGAAAGCCTAGTCAAAAAGATAGTATGTGAAGATTTAGATATAGAGCTTATCAAAAAACAACAACTTAGTCAAGTACTTAAAAAAGAGCTAGTTTATAAAAACTAAAGAAACAAATTAGAAAACAATGAGGAGCTGATCTTCCATACAGACAGATCACTCAAGAAATCAGTAACAGAAAACTCAATAGAAAGTGACCATATAGAAGTAGGATGGATGCAAGTAGATAGTGAGGAGGAAAAAGTAATTGATAAAGATACAATTGGTGCATGAAATTGGCCTTCATTAACAAAATCAGAGTTGTTTGCAATTTGGTATATGCTGCTAATAATACTAAGAAAGAAAAAATCAAGATTTACACTAACAGTGCAGCAGCAATAGCAAGCCTTAACAAAGGTAAAAAGCTAAAGTCAAGTAGACATTGGATTAAAGAAAAGAATTATAATCTCAAAAAAAGTATTCTAAAATTACTTAGTTTAAAAGAATTAGATTTAGATTTAGTTAAAGTAAAAGGATATAGTTGTAACAAATAGAACAATAGAGCAGATAAATTAGCAAAAAAGGCAAACAAAAAGGCACTACCTTCAAATTTAAATGTTTCACTCTGCTAGAAGAATCTAGTAATCGAAAGCTCAACAAGAAAATTTATCAAAAATGTACTAGAACTTAAAGTCAGAGCAGAATGGAGATTCATATCATCAATCCAAAAAACAGAACCAATCTTGAAAAAAGAAGAACACAACTGGTCAACATTATAGCAAAGCATTAAGAATCAAAGTGAAACAAAATATATAAGTATGAAGAGAAATGGAAAATTAGCAACATTAATTAAATGTATAAATAAAAAACTATCTGTATTCAAGACCTTGGCACAAAGACAACCAGACCTATACAAAAATGCAATTTGTATACTTTGTAATAAAAACTACGAAGAGGATCAAGACTATCTAGCAACATGCAGTGAGTATAAAAAAGAGTGAGATGATACAGAAAACATGTTAATCAAACTTGCATAGACAGTACTTGCAAAAGAAACCCAAAAAAAGACAAGTAAAGAAGAACTTAAAAAGCTTTTATAGAGAACTTCAAAAAAAAAAAGATCAGCAAGCAGATCCAAAATTATCAAAGGTTTAATGCAAGAAAAAGCCAAAAAGTCAGTACAAGATATTATACAATCCTTAAAGGAAACCAAAAACTTTATAACAGTGTTTACAAATATAACATGAAATAGGTTTTTTGAAAATATATAAAAAAAATGATATAATACTGTTGCTGACTGGAAAAAATTAATAGGAATTAAAACTACAATTAAAAAGAAGAAAAATAATAAACCTTTCAAGCAAGAAAACATGAAAAAAAGGAAAGACTATAAATATAAATAAACAAAATTGAATAATAAGAAAAGAAAAAGAAAAGAATAAAGTTCAAGTCCAGAAAACATGGCTTGATTCAGTTTTTAGTTTTGTAAATAAAAATGTAAGACCCTTTTTTCAGAGTCTTACTGGCTAGCTTGGTATAACCCAAAGCCAAGAATAATTTTCTGGCCTGTGCAGCAGACTGCTCCTGGACACTCACAGAAGTAGCTGAAGGATGTCAAACCAAAATTTAAGTCAACTTTGTACAACATATATACAAGAATCTTAATAAAGGTGATCAGCAAGGCTGCCTAAAATAAAAAAAAAAAAGTTATTCTTTATAAAATAATATAAATTTTATTTAATTTTAATTATTAGTTAATAAAAAAATTAATAAAAATAAAACTTTTATAATTTAAACTTTTAAGATTAATTTTCTTAATTATTATTAATTTAAATTATTCTTTTTTATTTAATAATATTTTTTTACAAAATATAAAAAAAATTTAAAATTTAATTACTTGTTATAAAAATAATTTAAATAATTTAAGATAGTAATTTTAATATAATAGTTGAGTTGATATTTTTCAAATAGCAAATCTAATGTTCAAATTTTATTTATAATAAAATTTAAAAATTATATCTGTATTATAATAACTGTCTTTTATTAATCAGTTAGTCTTATAAAACTGTAATTCAAATATGCCAAATCTAGTAACTTAAAGCTTAGATTATTTATACAAAATATAATATTATATATATATAAAAGAATGCTTATTAATATTATATAAAACTTCTATACAAATGGCAATAAAACTGAACAAACCTTAATAACAATAAAATCTTTTTTTAGTAATAATATTTAAAATTTACTTATCTGATTTTAAGAATTCTAAAAAGCTAATATAGCAAATTGATAAAATATTGTTCATTAATTAGAAATTGCTTTTGTATATATAAAAAATATTATTTTAAACTAATATAAGAGCCTAAATTTTTAGACTAATGCTTATAATAATAATGCTTATCAAAACTAAAGTTTTAAGTATTTATTTAAAGCTTAGTTTAGCACTACTAAACAAAAAACAGTTTGGCAAAAACAATTATTTAATATTAAACAAGAAACAGATAGCATAGATGCTCATATAAACAGGTTTAGATTATTGTAAAAGAAAGTAAATTTTATTAAAGCTTTTTTTTTATTTTTATTATTTAACTTTTTATTTAAAAATTACAACCAGTATATGCTATTAATGTTCAAGCATTTGAACTAACAGTTTTAGATAATGCTATTGCTACTGCTTAATAATAAAAAAACTAGAAAACTTATAACTACTCTTATACTTTTAAAAACAAACTAAGTTATTAAACAACTAACTAACCAGATTACTCAACTTAGTATTAACTTTACTTAGCAACAAAAACCTTTATTTGTTACTTTTGTAAACTATGCTAAAGCTTTTATTTAAACACCTCAATTTAAACAACTATTTATTTATTTATATTGTAAATATATTAGACATTTTATTTTTAATTGCATTAATAAAAAAAAATAGTAAATAAAAACAAAGTTTCTATAGTCTAAGATTTGCTAAAGATAATTATTATAATTATTATTAATTTAGAAGTCAAAACAACTCTTAAAATAGAAATCAATTTTATAAATAAAACTTTTATTTATCTAATAATCATAAAAAAAACAAAAACTTTAAATACTTTAAATATCTTCTAATTGATTTCTTTTCTATACTATTATGATATTCACTATATTGATTAGATCTAAATATATATATTTTTTTAATTAGTTCTTAAAAATAAAAAATCATATTAGCTAACCTTTTCATCTATATTGCACTTTTTGTATACTTAAGTAAAGAAGCTAAAAATGTTAATATTCTTTTATTTATTGTTTAAATTACATCTATTAAATATAATATCTAACTTAAAAATAAATTTTATCAAACTATTATCAATAGTAGTACTTGGTAAGCATGATTGCTTACAAAATAGTTAAAGAATTAAGATTAAAAATTAAACAAGTCTTTTTTAGCCTTATTATATCTGGTATTAATAGCTTTATTAGACCTTTAGAAATTATTTATAACTTATCTATTATCATTAATTAAATTACTATTTTTGTTACTATTAAAGTAATAGATGTTATAATATATTCTATTCTGTCTAACAATAACTAGTTCAAAAAAATTAAAACTAGTTACAATTGAAAAAATAAATACTATATCTTTAAGTAAAAAAATAAAAAATATGCCATTTCTACTACAGCTAACTCTCTCAAAACTGATTCTGTCAAAACTGATATTCTTTTATAATTGGTCAAATATCAATCTACTAGATCTGTTCCTTATTTCATATCTGATAATCTGCAATTTCTGATATCTGATAATCTAAATACCTAGGTTTTTTGATTTGTTAATTGTATCATATAATTATAAACTAATCAAATCACAAATTTTAATTAACTACACTTCATACAAGATGAAAAGATCCTAATTTCTCTTCACAGTTCTAATTAGACAGTTGTAAATATTACTTCTGATTGAACAATATAGACTATACCATCTGTTATTTATTAATCAAATTATAAAATTAAGTAAAATATAAAATTTTTTAAAAAAAATTAAAGTTTTTGAAGCTTTTCAAAAATTGCCAGTAACTTAAAATTTTAATTACAAAACTACCTTTTATGTTTTAATAAAAAAAATTTCTTTAAAAATTTTAGTAAAATATTTATTCTATTAGACTTTTATACTGTTTTAATGACATTTTCATTATTTAATTATCTAATAGGAACTATGAAAAAAAATAGTAAACTCCAAGACAAAAGGTTTTAATTAGACTAACTGGTTATAGTTCACAATGCAAGATTAAAGTAAGCAAACAATTTTTAATCATACTAAGCAAAAGAATTCTAAAATGCTTTTATCGATCCAATGCTTTTTATTTATTTAAAAATTTTCTGTTTTGATAGAAAAATCTATAAGAATATAAATATATATATATATTTTTTTGTCAGCTGTTTTATTATAAAAAATAAAATTAATATAAAACTATTTTGTTTAAGCATTAAAAAATTAATCTAACCTAAGTTGGACTTGTTTTTTAGTTTTCTTCTTTTAAACCTTTAGAATTGCAGCTTGCATAAAGACTTCATTGTTACTCCACTATTATTAATCCTTTTATCAACAATTCTTAAGTCATCATATAAAATTCTCAATTGATCTTCTTCAGTTAAAGGTGGTATTATAATTTTATTTTTTTTCTGTTCAATTCTGTAGCAGCTTGAATTAAGTTTTCATTGATAAACTGGTAATGTATTTCTTATTCTTTTTTAATATTTAATAAATCTTTAACTGGCATTGGATTATGAATACACAAGACATCAATTTGCTGCTAAAGTTTCTTTACTACTAATTTATCTTTGGGATCAATAAGAAGGTTTTCTTCTATATCTTTGATGCTTTCATTAGAAAAAGGAATAATAGGTACTCTATTTTCATCATAGAGAAATATAACTTTTATGCATAATTAGCCATTCTTAATTATTTTAGCAGATACTTTATTTTAGGCAACCTCTGTCTATTTCATAGTCTGCAATAGTAATATAAATTAGTAAAAATTTTAATTTTAAATCAGTTAAGATGTTGATATTTGTAATAATAATATTCTGATCTGTTAGAAAATTAGCAGAAATGAAGTTTTTGCTTATTTATATACAAATCAGGATATTTTAATTTACTTTTCTGTGATTTTGATATAGTGACTAGAGAATTAATTATATAATTTTTTAGGTATAGGAGTATAGAAAGTTCCATATTTTAATAATAAGGTTATTAGCAATATATATATTAGTGAAAGAAGGGATAGTAAATAAGAATTACATAATTAATATTGTTAATATTAGTTGATGTTGTTAGTTGTAATTAAGAGATAAAATAGTTTTGTAGTTTGTGATTACATTAAAAGTAACTAGTTGTTAATTTAATCAACTGATTAATTAATTTATATATATATATATTTTTTTTTATAGTTAAAATCCCTATCTTAAGAATGTAATATTTTTATTCAAATATATTAGGACATGGCATGCCACCAAAGGCCCATCTTACATTGGAGGTTACAACTAGCTACATATGCACTTTTGGTGCCTAATTTAAGTAGTCTGCTTACATATTGCTATATAAGTTCTATACTAGTTGCCATACCTGCAAGCCAACTAGAGGACTTGCCTATTTAAACTTTTTGTATATGCAATCCTTCTTGTATCATGAGAACATCTCAAGACTACACTCATCCAAGTTCCTGATACTTGTTGTTACTCTTAGAACTAATTTATCCTTAACAAAAAACTTACTAGAGCCTTTATGTCCCACATATATAAACCTAGTTTTATGCAATATGCTATAGTTACCTAACACTTGCAGTCACAGAGGTTACCTGTTTAACTATTATATTATACTATTTTTACTCTTGTAAAGTTTACTAGAACCCTAGTACCTATCTTCTTGGTATCTTCTCTATCATTCTCTACTAGCTGCAACTCAGAACCATTAGTTTTATTTTAGACTACCAATTCAAATAGCCTAGTATAGTATACTTCTGTATTCTTTTTCTCTGGTGAATCTGGTAACCTGGTTAGTTATATGCTCCTCTATACATATTTAATGTCTGGTTTTAACCTTTGGTTTCTATAAAAGTGTTTTGTAGGCTTCAACTAGTCTGTTGGTATCATTGAAAGTTTATACTACCTCTTTACTTAAAAATTTCTAACTGGGTTTCCATCACCTTAGTTCTTTAGTCTTTTATGCCTAATGGTCTTATTATGAGTTTGCACTGAAGTCTTATGCAATACTGGTTATACATTTCTCTATATACATGTAACATTATATTTTGCATAGATGTCTGAGCTCTTAATATTAGTAGGACCTAACTTGGTATATCTGAGTAACAGTCATATAAGGCCAACCAATCAACAGAAGACAGTTACCATAATGCAGATATAATTTTCAAATTTCATTGTAGGTAAGATTTGAACCTTAGACTTGCCATTTGGAGGATGACAACCTAACCACTATATTAGGATTACTATCTTCTTTAATTAATTTATATTATTATTTGCAGTTGGTCAACTTTATATATATCTCTCTTATCAGCTTCATCAAGATCAATTGTATATTGGAGTTGCATATAATGATAGTAAAGTTTAAATGATGCAATGATATCAGTATCCATAGGTTGTATTTTTGATGTTACATTTTTGGGCAACATGAAGATTTTTACATTGTTAAGAATAAGAACATAAGTAATATGCAAGATAGCATTGTCAAGAATGAGTAAAATGTAATGGTTTGATTCTTTTATTTTTTTATCCAATTTTTTTATCCATTTTTGAAAAAACAGTATAGTTATTTATGCTTTTTTGTTATTGCAATAATAGAATCTAAGCTCTTTTTTTGTTTTTTTTAAAAACATTTAGGTGTTTTGAAATAACCAATAATAAAAGGAGGAAGCTTGTGAGTATCATTAGTATTGGTTGTAAATACAATTGTAATTCTTATACAGTTTTGTTTTGATCTTTCAATTATGAACAGTAAGTATTTAAAATAAAATGATTTAAGTTTAGCTATTAGCTGTCACAATTATTAATATTTTAAAACATAATTTAAAACAATTTAAAAAATATTAAAATTATCAATCTTTTTTTTTTTTTTTTTTACTATCCTTATTTTCAATTTAATGAAATGTGATTGTGTAATTAAAAGCTATAATATAAAATAAACCCATCTCATTCATATTGTAAATATTACAAAATGAATACTAATTAGTAGTATAAATAATATTAGAAAGGTTTAAGTTAATTGCATCAATATTTGCAAAACTACTTTCATCATGCAATCTAAAGAAACAAAAATTATGTCTTTTTTAAAAAGCTTGTAACCATCTGTTTGAAAACTCAAGCTGGTTATTTTTAGAGATTTTCATAAAGTTAGCTAATTTTTTGACTTTAGCTTTAATTATATTAATATTTAAGCATACAGCCTGATCTTTGCATTGTAATATCCAATTTGCCAAAGTGGTATCTAGCTTAGAAAACATAATGATGTAATGCTTTTTAACTCCAAGATCACTTGAAAACATTTTACTAAACTCATCTTTTTTTAAAAAAAGTCTGAAATTGTGCTTTGGCTTAAGGCTTTAACTAACTTAAATTTGTTTTTAGTTCACTCTACAAGTTCTTTTTGAATGATTGTTAGATTTGCAAGATAGTAATCAAATATCTTTTTCTTTGATCATTATACAAGTTTTCAGACTTTCTAATAGAAAAATTTGCAAACCTACAGGCATTAGCTATAACATGTTTAAACATGCAGATAAGAAACTTATATGAAAAAAATTTTTTAGTAGTTTGTAAAAGCTTTTTTGTTGTTATTATTTTGATTTGTTGCTTTTATTCTCTTTATTTTGTTTATTTATATTCAAAGAGTCGACAGACAGTGATCCTGCCTATGCTTTCAAATGAGACGAATCACATAAATATCTTATGTCAGACAGACAATCAACTTGTATCCAAAATAACGTGCATACACATACTCTAAAACAACTTTATCTTTACTTTTCCCCATTATAATAATAGAATAAAATTAAAACTATACATCAGATGATATATTTTTTAGGTTGTATAATTTTAATTTTTTTTTTAAAAAAAACAAAGCTTAATGTAATAATAGATCTTTTTTATATGCAATACTATTGCTTAATAATAGAAATATATATAATTTAGACAATAAAAACAATTAATAGACAGAACAAAATTTTTATATTTAAAAGTTTTTTTAACAGTAAGAATTTTAAACAAAACTATTATTACCAAGTTTTTTATTTTACTATCCTTAATAAATTATATTCTAAGTAATTTTTTTTTATCAAAATTTTATCATTATTTTTCTCATTTAATCTATTATCATGTATTACTTTTTTGATTCTTTAAAGTATTTGTATATTGCAGAAGTATTCTATATATTTCAAAAGCATTGATCTTATTATTCTTTTTTCTGTGAATTAGAACTAATTTTAAATTTAATCATTTTTAAAGTTATCAACATGTTAACATTTAGGGCTTTATCTAATTTGGTCTTATTATCTCTTTTTTTATTTTAGATTCTTAACTTTAATCAACTTAAATTTTTAAGATTAGTAGATTGGTAATTATGTTATTCAGAGTCATGAACCATATAGTGAAATTATTGAAAAACTGTAAACCTGATAAAAAACAAAAAAAAATAAATAGCAAGTAATCAAATTCAATTATTTTAGCAAAAACTACAACCTGATTTTTAATTAGAGAAGCTAGTTATTTTATTAAATAAAGTGTATATAAATTAGTAAGTATGATGACTTCTACTAAAATAATGATTAATTTACCTTAATACTATTGTTGTAATTAAGGTGTGCATAACATTTATCATATTAATTTTATAAGTTTAAAAACTTGTTTTTTAAGAAATCAATATTCTTATACAAATACTTATTATATTAAAAAATTCAATTAAAATTTATACAAAACTACAATTTTTGCTCTATTATGCAAATATAGTAATAGTATACTTTGTTTGAAAATTTATTGATACCTACTAGTACTACTGATAATCTAAAGATCTTCTATATTGATATATTAGGAAAATAGTATAATACACTTTCTAATTAATACAGTACCATTAGATAAAGCCTTTATGAATTTGTATTATTTAATTAAAAATTTTAGTATACTTGAGCAATAAAAGACTGCATGTATGCCAGGTTTATAGTGCAGATAAAATTCTTTAAAGTTTATTAATGTCAAGGTTAGCACTTATAATAGAATTAAGAATTAATAGCAATATAGTAAAATCAATTAAGAAAAACCTTTTTTTATAATATTAAAGATGGTTTCTTATACAGATTATTGAACAATAAGTGACTTTTGACAAAATTAACATTTGTTTTGAGTTTTTCTGATTGTGTTATATTGCATCTGGTTTAAAAATTTATACCATAAGCCTGACATATATTAAAAAAGCATTTACAAGTAAATTTTCTGAAAATATATTTGAATATACTTATTATATAATTATATATATATAGCAAGAAATCTTTAATAAAAAAAGAGAATAAGGTTTGTGTATACTAGATTTGTAATGCATATCTTCTGAACTATAAATTAAATTTCAAGATTAAATGAATATAACTCAATCAAAATAAATGTTCATTCTACAAAAAATCAATCATAACATATAAGAAAACCTTTAGTGCACTAACAAAAAAAATTCTCTAAGTAAGTTTTTGTTATAAGCTTACTAATATCTAACTACTGCATAATAAAC